GATTTCATAGATTTATCTAGTTCTGAGAGGGGGAAGTTGAGGTCCCCCACTAGTATAGTTTTGCTGTCTATTTCTTCCTGTAACTCACTTAACTTCTCCTCTGAGAATTTAGATGTTATACCACTTGGTACATATATGTTTAATATTGATATTACTTCATTGTCTGTGGTACTTTTTAGCAGGATGTAGTTTCCTTCTTTATCTCTTTTAATTAGATCTATTTTTGCTTTTGCTTTGTCTGAGATCAGGATTGCTACCCCTGCTTTTTTTACTTCAGCTGAAGCAGAATATGTTCTGTTCTAGCCTTTTACCTTTACTCTGTGTGTATCTCTGTGCTTCAGATATGTTTCTTGTAAACAACATATTGTAGTTTTATGGTTTTTAATCTACTCTGCTATCCACTTCCATTTTATGGGACAGTTCATCTCATTAACATTCAAAGTTACGATTACTGTGTTTTTCTTTCCATCCTATTTTCCCCCATTTATACTTTTCTCTCTTCTTTCACCCTTTCCCTCCTGACTATGTTTTGCTTCTGACCTCCCCCTCTCTCAATCTGCCCTCCCTTCTCTCAGCTCCCTCCCTTTTCTTCTTTCCCCTTTCCACTACTACTTCTTCCTTCCCTTCTATCCACCCTCTCCGTTTTCTTTCCTGTTTCTCCTCCTACTTCCCTATAGGGTAAGATAGATTTCTATAACCAACTGAATGTATATGTTATTCCCTTTTTGAGCCAGATCTGATGAGAGTAAGGTTCAAACAATGCTTGTCCCCCCTTCTTTCCCTCTACTGTAATAGGTCTTTGTGCCTCTTCATGTGATATAATTTACCTTATTCTGCCTCCCCATTTCCTCTTCTCTCAGTACAATCCCTTTTTTTTTTCACTCTTCATTAATTTTTTTTATCATCACATCAAAGTCAACTTATACCTGCACCTTCTGTCTATGCATACCCCTTCAAATAATAATAAAGATACAGTTCTCAAGAGTTATCAGTATCATCTTCCCTTGTAGGGATGTAAGCAGTTTAACCTTATTGAATAATTTTTTTTCTTTCCTGTTTACCTTTTATGCTTCTCTTGAGTCTTATATTTGAAGATCAAATTTTCTGTTTAGCTCTGGTTTTTTTCATCAGGAGTGATTCCCTTGAATGTACATATTTTCTTCTGAAAGATTGTACACAGTTTTGCTAGGGAGTTGATTCTTGTTTGTAATCCAAGCTTCTTTGCCTTCTGGAATATCATATTCCAAGCCCTCAAGTGCTTTAATGTAGAAGCTGCTAAGTCCTGCATAATCCTGACTGTGATTACACTATATTTAAATTATTTCTTTCTGGCTGCTTGTAGTATTTTCTCCTTGGCCTGATAATTTTGGAATTTGCCTACAATATTCCTTGAAGTTTTCATTTTGGGATCTCTTTTAGGAGGTAATCAGTGCATTCTTTCAATGACTATTTTACCCTCATGTTCTAGGATATCAGGGCACTTTTCCTTGATAATTTCTTGAAAGATGCTGTCCAGGCTCTTTTTTTTGATCATGGCTTTCAGGTAGTCCAATAATTCTTAAATTATCTCTCCTGGATTTATTTTCCAGGTCAGTTGTTTTTCCAATGAGGTATTTTACATTTTCTCCTATTTTGTCATTCTTTTGATTTTGCTTGACTGATTCTTGATGTCTCATAGAGTCATTAGCTTCCACTTGCCCAATTCTATTTTTTTTAAAGAGTTCTTCTCTTCAGTGAATTTTTGTACCTCCTTTTCCATTTGACCAATTCTACTTTTTAAGGAGTTGTTTTCTTCAGTGGATTTCCTGCCCCCCCCCCCCATTTTGGCCAATTGTATTTTTTAAGGAATTGTTTTCTTTAGTCAATTTTTATCTTTCCTTTTCTTAGCTGTTGACTCTCTCTTGCATACCTCTCATTTCTTTTCCCAATTTTTCTTCTACCTCTCTTATTTGACTTTTAAAATCCTACTTGAGCTCTCCCAAGAAGGCTTTTTGGACTTGAGACCAATTCATATTAACCTTTGAGGTTTCAAGTGTTGGTATATTGACAATGCTGTCCTCTTCTGAGTTTGTGTTTTGATCTTCCTTGTCAAACTTTCTATGGTCAATGTTTGGTTTTACTTCTTACTCATCTTTTTGCCTATTTCCTGGCTTTTCAAGTGGACCTCTGCTTTTGGGGCACAGGGGGCACTGTCCCAAGCTTCTTGTATTGGAGGCCAGGAGTCTGGTCACTGGCTTTGTCTACCGGGCCCTCAGGTGGAAGAGGCTTGCCCACTACACTAGGGTGGCCTGGCATAGTTACACCTCTTGTTGCCTGGTATTCTCTTGAACTTCTTGTGCTGGCAGCTAGGGGCTTGGTCACTAGCTTTGTGCCCTGGGGCCTCAGGTGCTGGCAGCTGGAGGCTGTAGGGTCTGGAAGCTTACCTGGTGCCAAGCTGGGGTCTTAATGGTGGTGTCTGGTATGTGCTGAGGCCAGGTGCAGTTTTTCTGAATTTCCCTGGGGCTACACTGAGGCACGTGGAGGTCTGGCCCCTGGATGATGCCTTGTTTGCCTTTGGCTGCACTTAAGCCCCTGGAAATCAGGCAGCTGGAAGATGCCCAACTGCCCTGGGCTACGCTGAAGCACATGGAGGTCTGGCTTCTAGAAGACGCCTGCCCATCAGGGCTGTGCTAAAACATGTGGTGGTTCTCTGAGCTGGAGTCTGCCAGTTCCCCTGGATATGCTAAAGCACGTGGGGGGGGGGAACCAGGTCCTCGTGTTGACATTTTCCTGCTCCACCACATTGGGACTTAGGATTTCCCATTGGTTTTCTGAGGTGGGACTTGCTGCTGGCTTGCAGTGACACTTCCTGTCCTGGAATGTGCTCTCCTTTTACCTGAGTGAGACAAGACCTTCCTTGCTGATCTCCCAAGTCTCCCAGGCTAAAAGACTGCTCCACCCCATCTTTCTGCTGGCTCTGCTGTTCCAGGATTTGTTCTGGGGCACTATTTTATGGTTTTATGGCAGTGAATATGGGAGAGCTACAGCAATTTACTGCTTACTCCACCATCTTGGCTCCTGGAAGTCCGCTTTCCTCTCTTTCCTGTCTTCTTCTACATTACTCCCCTTCACACACTCTGTGGTCCAGCTATACTGGCCTATGTGCTCTTCCTAACATGTGATTCTCCATGTCCCACTGGCTGTCCCCCATTCCTGTAATTGTCTCCCTCCTAACCCTGGCCTCTTAGAATCTCTGGATTCCTTTAAGACTCAGTTCAAGTGCCTCCTCCTGAATAGGACCTGTGCTGGTTCTCCCAGCTGCTAGCACCTTCCCTTTGAAGGCTACCATTCGATCTACTGTATACATATCTTGTATGTACCCATTTCCATGTATGTTTTCTCTTTGTGCTCCCTGAGATCAAAGACTTGTTTGTTTTTGTCTTTGTCTCACCAGTGCCCAATACAGTGCCTGATACATAATGAACTCTTAATAAACACTCATTGATTGATCTATTGATTATTGTGGGTGAACAGTCCTTAGTGTCAAAGTTGCCAGGGTGTTATTGTCAGCTCCATCACCACAAACATCTCTTTGAATTGAGGGATAGGTGAATGTCTTTTGGTCTGGGAGAGGGTCTCCCAAGGCTTCTGAGGCAACCTCCTCTTTTCTTTGTCAGTATACCTGGGTTGAAATCCTGCCTCAGACACTTACTAGCTGTGTGACCCTGGGCCAGGAGCTTAACCTCTCTCTGCCTCATTTTCTTCATATGTAAAATGAAAGAGTTGTACTAAATAACCTCCAAGGTCCCTTGTAGCTCTAAAGCTATGATCCCCTGATCCTTTGTTTTCTAATTCCTTTCCCAGTGGGGTACTAGTAGAGGAATGGGGAACCAGGAGTGATATATTTATGTAGCCTGAATTCCATTCCCTCTTTGGCCCTGAAGCAATAATAATAATAATAGATGACATTTACATAACTTTTCATGGTTTGCAAAGCACTTTTATATATGTTATCTAGTTTAAGCAATAGAAAGATAATGAACTCCTGATGCTATTTGCACAGGGTGACTGACATCTTCAATAAAAATGGCCCACTGCTAAAGCTGCTTTAGTACTATTATGGCTTTTACAATTTGAAATGACTAAAAACAGGCATGCTAATTTGAGATCCATTTGAACACAGGAAATGCCATCTGTTTGCCAAGTTGATTATCATGAAAACTAAGTTAAAAATCTTTTAAATTTCTAAATGGTATTTTGATATATGGGAATGGAAAGATAAAATAACTTGAAATGGTGCTGATTTCCATCTTCCCAGGCTTTTCTCTTAGCCAAATGGCATTAGCGGTAGCCCATTAATTTCTAGGATAACATCAAACCCTTACTTTCCACTTTTGCCACATTCACACACGGCTCAAAGAGGGGAAACAAAAACAGCCAGTGTGTTTTGAACAAGTCCTCCTCTCCCAGCCTGCCCCTGACTCAAACAGCTGCTTGCCCAGACTCATTGCTGACTTCCCAAATGCCAATTAAACTTCAAAGCAGCCACTATAAGCTAGGTCTCCACATTGATGTGCAGCAGCTTCCAGTGGTAAACCAACATCATCCAGTTAGGATATATCAATGAAAGGTCCATTATTCTTTATAGGGTCACAGAATCACAGAGCGAGAGCTGGAAGGGATAGTAGATGCCATTCAGTCCAACACCTTCATTTTACAGAGGAAGAAATTGAGGTGAAATGACTTGCAGCTAGTAATTTTTTGAGGTGGGATTTGAACTCAGGTCTTCCAGACTCCAAGTAGTGTTCTATCCACTAAAATCCTGGATTTAACACTTTTTCTCCTCACCTTGATATTTGTTACCAGTTTGGAGAAAACTGTTCCCTAGTTTTCTGCTGGCATTTTCTCCAGATCTAGTTTCATCATAGTTTCCCCGCACAGGCATAGTCTTGGTTTTCTACTCTATGCCTGAAAGCTGTTAGCCTGTAGATCCCAATTATCATTTGTTTTGTTTCTTTCAGATATGACATTATATTCAAACAGCAGGTAGGAGCTGAGGATGTATTTCTGGGCATGACCAGAAAAGACCCTTCTACAGCCTGCTGTGAGGATCTCTTGGTGAGTTAGATCCTGATTTCAGATATGCACACAAAAGAAATCCAATTGCTGGATGTCTCTTGTTTATATCAGTCCCTACCATCAAGTGCCTTAAAAACGTTTTTCCCCCTTTAGACCAGCTGTGTGAGTTCACTGGTATAGGGATCTCCCAGTGTGGAAATTCCCTCTACCTACATGGATCAGAGCCAACACTGAAATTTATGGGCTTAGAAAGTTGCCAGGGGTATGGAGATTGTGATTGGCCACATAGCCAGTGTTAGTCAGAAACGGAACTTAAACACAGTTCTTCTTGCTGATTTTGAGGTGAGTACTCTATCATCTAGACTACAAGTCTATAGGAGAAATAGCATATACAGTTATAATAAGTCATATTTCTATAGAGATTTAAGGCTTACAAAGCACACTCTTTTCTCATCCACCCTGGGGGGTAAAGAGTATAAATGTGATTTTATCCCTATTTTAAAGATAAAGAAACTGAGACTCAGAAAGAGAAAGTGACATGTCCATAGCCATCAAGATAGAAATCTCAGAGCCTACTCAAACCCACATCTTTTGATCAGGTTGAAAGAGTAAATAGTTCAGTGCTCTTTTCACTATGCCAAACATGCACCTATACATATAGACAAAACGTACATAGGCAAGATTTACACACGAACATCCAGACTCACACATTTCCACAAATTGCTCCTGTCCCATTAAGACAGATAATATCATTGGACTCAATTTTCTCTCATTAGGCTCTTTCCTGATACCATGTGATTGATTCATGGCTTTTTTTTTTTTTGGTGAGGCAATTGGGGTTAAGTGACTTGCCCAGGGTCACACAGCTAGTAAGTGTCAAGTGTCTGGGCTGAGGCCGGATTTGAACTCAGGTCCTCCTGACTTCAGGGTGGTGCTCTATTCTTTGCGCCACCTAGCTGCCCCTCATGGCTTCTACTAGATGACGAATAGGCTGTCTGGACCAGCAATTCTCTTTTTGTGTATTTCTTTGTGTATTTCTTTCCATTTAGAGATTTTTTAAAAAACATGAGATCTCTCAATTTATATACTGAGAGGAAGACACCCACTTCTTTAAAGGGCCACTGTAACAAGTTGGAGAGCTTCATCAATGCCAAGCCACCATGCCAGTAGCCAAGAAGTACCAGGTTGAGGTCAAGCTTGGAGAATGTTTAGAATTACATTTGGAATTATCCCTTTACAAGTTTTGACATGTGGTACTAGATCAGGCAGAAAGCTCATGTCCATCTTCCTTTCTATACCCTTGTGGCCTAAGTAATATAGAGAATAGTGTATCTTTATAAAGAACTGTACAATACACAGCTCTTTCCTTATGTCTCCTGTATGCCAGAGCCAGAGCTCTGGATTTACATAGATCAGGTCAAGTCTATAGTGCATTCTCCACTCATAATTTTACTAAGAGCATCAGGATTTGGCAATTTTGCCTCTAACCAAGATTTCCCTTGGGAACATTAGAATTCTCCAGAGGTCTTCAAAACAAGAGGGAAAAGGCCCTCAGCTCCCATTTGAGCACTCAGACCAATAAGATATTGAGTCAGCCCTGCACTGGCTACCTTCTCCTCCCTACCCCATCTTGACTCCTTGTTGAACTAGTTCAACTGTACACTGTCTTCTCTCACGTCCTTTGTACTTATTGCTGATATTGCCCTGTTCCTCAATTTTCCCATTTCCCATAATCTTCTCCTTGACTGCTCCTCAGCTATATATATCTATATCTGAAAATCATAACCTTCATCTAGATCATAGCCACTAACTGTGGGTGTTCCACAGGGCTCTGTCCTGGCTCTTCTCCTTTTCTCCCTCTATATACTATTTCTCTTAGTGATCTCATCAGTTCCTGTGGATTCAGTTATCATCTCTATGCAGATGATTCTCAAATCTGTTTTTCTAGCCCTAACTTCTCTCCTGTCTTCTAGTCTCACATCTCCAACTTCCTCTTGTACATCTCCAACTGGGTGTCCTATAGACATCTCAAACTCAACATGTCTAAAACCAAACTCAGTATCTTTCTTCTCAAACCCTCCCCTCTTCTTTTTTTTTTTTATTGCTGTTATGGGCACCACCATCCTCCCAGTCACCCCCAGGTGTCATCTTTGATTCCTCCTCCTCTGTCTCACCTTGTCCCCCCTCTCCCATCCAAACTGTTGCCAAGCCCTGTAGATTCTGCCCTTGCAACATCTTTCATGTACTCCCCCTTCTGTCCTTTGACACTACCACCATCCTGGAGCTAGCCATGCCTGGGACTAATGCAGTAGCCTGCTGGTTAGGAATTTCTCTGCCTCCAGTCTCTCCCCACTCCAGTTCATCCTTCACTCAGATGCCAAAGTGATCTTCCTAGAGAATAGGTCTGACCACGTCATCCCAAGCCTACTCAATAAAGTCCAGTGGCTCCCTGCGCCCTCCAGAATTAAATATATAATCCTCCATTTGGCATTTAAAAGGCTTCACAACCTGGTTTCTTTCTGCCATTCCAAACTTTTTACACCTTCCTCACCTCCATATACTTCTTCAATCTAGTGATACTGGCCTTTTTTACTATCCATTGCATAAAACTCTATACTTCCTAACTCTATTAATTTTCTCTAGCTGTCCCCCATCCCTGGAATTCTCTCTTTACTCATCTTCCCTTCTTGGCTTCTTTGGCTTCCTTCAAGTCTCAGCTAAAATCCCACCTACAGGAAGCCTTTCTTGATCTGCCTTAATGCTAGTGCCTTCTCCGCAAGATTATCTCCAATTTATCCTGTATATATCTTATTTGTACATAAAAAGCATCCCTTTAGTTTTTCTGTTCTTTACTATAATGAAATGAGCTGCTTTAAATATTTTTTGTCCATATAGGTCCTATCCCTCTATCTTTGATCTCTCTGGAGTATAGGCCTAGTAGTGATACTTCTGGGTCAAAAAATGCACAGTTTAGTGACTTTGGGACATAGTTCCATATTACTTTCCAGAATCATTGAGCCACAATTTAAATGTTTCCCTTGATTTCTGGTTTTTAGCCATGTTTACAATAACATTGTAAAAGTTGAAGAAGTGAGCAAGAAAAATAGAGGTGGAAATGAGGCTTGTAGCCAGCTTTTTTCTAGAAGTTTGGCTGAGAAAGGGAGGAGAGATGAAGGACAATAACTTGAGGAGATGGTAGGGTCTAGTGAGGGTTTTTTAAGGGATGGTGAGACTTGGAGGTATATATAAGCAACAGGGGAAGAGCCAGTAAACAAGAAGAGATTAAAAATTGGAGTGGGGTGACGATTGTGGGGGCAACCTGCTGGAAAAGACAGGAGGGGATGAGATCAAGGGTATGTGTAGAGGGATTGGCCTTGAAGAGGAGAATGGGCCACCTCTTCATCAAAGTCAAGGGATTGTAAGATGTGGAAAAGAAGAGAAGAAGGAGCTCTCGAGGAATGGCCTCTATTTTTCTGTGAGGTTTTAGGTTTGGTCCTCAGCTGAGAGGGTTGGGGCAGAGGGGCCTGTGAGATGCTTGAGGTTTGGAAGAATTGCTGAGGGGAATATGATACAGAATCACTTAGGGAGGAGTAAAAGGATTGGCTCACTGCAGTAAGGTCCCAGTTGAAATCAGAAAACATAAATTCGTAGACGACCCATCAGCTCAATTGTGTTGACATCCTCTAACTTTGTTTAGCAGCAACAAGTGAGTAGGAGTGAAGGAGGCAGATGGTGGGAGGGATCTATGATTTGGATTCAGCAACCATTGCAAGGTATTTCTCCTCCCCAGTTCCACACTTCTGATCTCCCCAGCATCATCCATTATTCTCTTTCTCTTTTGCTCCATTCTCATGGGATGAGCCAAGGATAACCCTTCTACTTGTGCCTTTGATACCCTCCTGTCACCTCCTAGCACTTGCCTCTTGGACCATCCTTTCTCTTTCCCTAATGTATCTTTAAAAATATCAAAATGGAAGTTAAACTACTTAATTGTATTTAACCTATTGCTTTAGAACAGTATGACCCCCTTTAAGAAATCAGGTTGATGAATCATTCATTCAGAGGCAATCTTGGGTATAGTTAATTGAGGTCATTGAGACAGAAAGACATCATATGCCATTACTACAAAAGGCTAGCTTCTAGAAGTGCTTTTTTCTAGGAAGATCAGGGGAAAATGTAGGCCAATGTAGTTGGATCACAAAGTTAGTGAAGGATGGTAAAGTGTAAGAAGGAAGGAAGAGGCCAGGTTGTAAAGGCCTTTAACTGCCAAACAAAGCATTTTATATTCAATCTTGGAGGGAATAGGGAACCATTGGGCTTTATTGAGGAGCGGCATGACGTGGTCAGACCCACACTATAGGAAGATCACTTTGGTAACTGAGTGGAGGCAAAGAGACCAACCAGCAGACATTAGTCCAGGTGTGAGGGCATGAGAGCTTGCTCCAGGATGGTGGTAGTGTCAGAGGAGAGAAGGGGTCATATAAGAGTGCCATTGTGAAGGTAGAAATGGCAAAACTTGACCATAGATTGCATGTATAGGGTGAGTATGAGAGCAGGAAGGACTTGGAGGATGGTGGTTCCCTAATAAAAGAAGGGAGGGTTTGAGAGGAAAGATAATGAGTTCTGTTTTGGACATGTTATTTTTGAGATACCCATGGGACATCCAATTCAAGTTGTCTAAAAGGCAGTTGATGATGTGAGTCTAGAACTCAGGAGAGAAACTAGGTCTAGATATAGAGATTTGGGAGTCATCTATATAGAGATGGTATTTGAACCCATGGGAACTGATGAGAGAAGAGAGCAGGGTATAAATTGAAGATATTGTGACTGTGCTGGTCCAGCTGGATCCTAGGGTTCAGGTTTGAGCCAAGAAAGATACTCCCACTTATCACGTCTCAAATCAGGCTATGTGTTAGTGAAGAATACAAGGTAGAAGCTTGTGAACTTTAGTCCTCAAACACCCCTTGCCCCCATATTTCCCAACTAGTTGAGTATGGAATAAGCATTTATTAAGCACCTACTGTGTGCCAAGCATTTTA